TCTTCTCATTATCAATATTTTGAAATATTTTACAGTTTTATTTTGAAGGATTTTTTTAAATCCAAAAAGTATTTAGTAACATGGTTTAAATTTACAAAGTCCTTTTTATATTTTGCTAGGATTTTGTTTTGTTACATAAAGGTCAGAAAATGTTTTAGCTCTCTTCTTTGGAGCTCATTAAGGTGATTTAAAATAAGGTCAATTTTTCATAAATGTTCCATAAACACCTTAAGAAAATATATAGCCTCTATTACTAATTTCTGGAGTTCAGTACATCTATTGAATTGTGTCACTTGTTTAGGCCTTATGCATTCTAGCTAACCTTTTCTCCACATGACTTCTTTTGTAACACTTAGAACTCATTACCTTTGAGAATCAATTTTCCATGATTTGAAGTTCATAACTCACATTTTTATTTTCTGATATTTATATAGATAGATATAAACATATATATGCTAGAAAATATATTATTCTATTGTCTTCTAATATAAAAAAGTACTGTCATAATATCTGGTCATAATCAGGTTTTCTTTATTTTTTTGTATATCTTTTTACTGGTATATTTTAGGTGTACAGTATAATGACATTCATCATTGGAAATACGCATCTTTACATACTCTCTTGGGTCTTATTTTTCTGCCTTTCCCCTGCCCTCCCTTCAACTCCTCCATCCCTCCCTATTTACAAAGACTTTGTTACTTTTTTTTCATTTTCTCATATTAATTCCATTCCGTTCTTTCCTTTCCCTACCCCTCCAACTTCTCTTCAATCTCTTTTTTCAAAGTGCTATAGTTTTCAGAGAAGAGAAGAAATCAGACATTTCCTTCAATTAAATGACAACGACAATATAACATATCAGAATCTATGGGACCCAATGAAAGCAGTCTTACGAAGGAAATTCATAGCAGTGAATACTCATATTAGGAAAACAGAGCAACCCCAATTAAACAACCTGATGCTGAACCTCAAGCTTCTAGAAAACCGAAGAGCAGGACAAACCCAAAGCCCATAGAAAGGAGGAAATTATAAAGATCAGGGCAGAAATCAATGAAATGGAGACTAAGAGAATGATACAAAAAAATCAATGAAGCCAAGAGTTGGTTCTTCGAAAGAGTCAACAAAATTGACAAACCTTTAGCCAACCTT